GATCACTTTTGCAGACGCTCTGTTTTTGTCATATCCGAGCCGGGGGTGGCGGCGTGCTGGGCCCCCAAATGTTTTCTCGACGCGTGTTTTCATTGATTGCTTTCCTTGCGACGACAACAAACGCGGTGGAGCTTGTCACGGTTACTTCTTGGATGCTTTTTCACGCCGCCTGTGACAGCTGTGCGGTTCCGCTTGGTGCCAAAACAAGACTCTATAATGGCTTCAAATGGAAAATGTGTCATGAACTTTTCTTTTCCCCACAGAGCCTGAACAGCAGCATTGGGACGTGCAATGGCAGAAATGGATTACTGGTAAGGAAAAAAGAGCTATTTTATGTCTTGATCCAGTTCAACTTTTTCAAAAGAGAAAAAAAGACAATTTTTGTGTTTACAGAACGGATTATCCAGCAGGGATGGAAGTATAGTTCTTCGTTATATACCCGACCCCACAGATAAATTATTAGATGACGCCTTCCAGCCTGCTCCAGGTGAGTTTCCTCCTTTCAGAAGCACCACATGTCGCTCAGGTGAGCTCAGCTGCCTCTTTAGGACTTGCCAATCAATGGTGACATCTGGTGGTCAAAAAGCACATTGCAGAATGCAATGTTCAAATCGCAAAGGCTGCAATTAGCGTCGTCCTGGTTGGTTGGTAGATTTTATTACATTTTTTTTTTATATATCGATATCTATATAGATATAGATATGATATTCATTCCCGAACTGCTTTAATGATTCCACATTTTTTTCTTGTCGGGGCCAAATTATGAACATGTTCAAAATGTCTTTGGGACAAATAAAACTTTTATTTTTGAGGCCATGAACATTTATGGCGAACGTCTTCGTGACCCTTCCCGACCAAACAACCCCCCACCAAAAAAAAAAATAAAAAAAAACATGCAAAACCTTTGCCAGTCAGTGAGATACGGCCTTAACCGATCAGACCAAAACTCCCTTGGGTTTGTTAAAGTTACATGGGAAGAGGAATTGAAAAAAATAACTCCATATTAAATCGCAATTACAATATTAGGAGGGAAAAATTGCACTTTGATTATTTTTCAAAATCATTCAGCCCTAATGCGAAGTGTCAGTTAAGAAGGTGTTACCTGAGCTAAATTGCTTGCTCTCATTCTAAAAAACATCCCCCCCCAATGTGTTTCAGTGGTCGTCAATTCTATGCAGATTTGTGCTGTTTAAAAAAATAAATAAAAATTTGGTTCCCCAGAATGTATTGTGTGGCACAGTGCATTTGATTAATGAAATTATTAGGACGTAATGTGTGTTTGTGTTCCCAGTTGTTCAATGTGTGATATTTAACACACATTTATGTTTGATTCATATTGCTATATTTTTTGATGAGTATTTTTGACTTTTTTCAACAAATTGTGACTTTAAATTGTGTGTAAAATAGTGGCATCCAGGTAAAAATAAAATTGCTTTGTTTTGAATAAAATGGTCCATCAACAAATGGCATGATACATATTTAAGGATACAAGGTCATGGCATCGATGTATGTGTAATAAATAATGACTTTACTCTTGTACAACTGCTGTCTCCAATTGGCTGATTATGTTGATTGATGTTTGAAGGGCAACAACTGGCCGTCCAATTAATCGGCCAGGCCCTACGTAAACAATGTGAACATTTTTCGTTTCTTTCGTTGCAAAAACATAACAGTCTGCCCTCCTCACGTATGCCGACAGACTTCATGAACGAGAACACAGCCTCGGACATGATGAATCCCGTGTACCAGCGCCCCGGCCCTCTCCGCACCCCCCTTCCCACCATCTCCTCGGACGATGCTGACGACTCCCAGTACCTCAACTGCTTCAAGAACGAACCCGAGTACCTCAACGAGTTCACTTCCCGCCCCAACGGCGAGCTCCACGCCATCCACAAGTACAAGCTGCAGAACAGTATAGACAACCCCGACTACCAGCAGAGCTTCACGCCCAGCTTCAAGGCCCGCATGAACGGGCACCTGCCGTCAGCGGAGAACGCAGAGTACCTGGGCCCCGACTGATGGCTCCTTGAAGTGAAACGATATATTTTATTAGCGGTACCATCAATTAGCTGTCACCTTGAAACAGTGATCCCAAAAGTTGACATGAGCCCTGTCGGAAAGTGAAAACCTCTCGTGACGACAAAGAGGAAGTGACTCCGTCCGCAGCGGTCATAAAAAGGGGGAACTGAAATGAGCAGCTCAAGCCAAAAACAAATTGGTTTGACATCCAACAGCCTCTCAAGATGTCACATGGACCACCCACTGTGATGTGGACGGGGCGGGCGGGCGGGCGGGACTAAACTCACCTTTCTTGGGATGGGAATGCTGGATGCACTCTTGGTGACACTCCTGTCCTAATGAGGAAGCATAGAACGTATGAATCGGCCACTTTCAGGGGAAAACCGGTGAATTGCTTACTATTCAAAGATAATGCTGAAAAGTGGAGTGGAGTTCAGAAACTGTAACACTCATTAAAACACAAATATCTCTTTTCCACTGCACATTACCTACTTGGCCTCTTACGGCGCTACTTGCTAGAAAGGACAAACACACGTGCTCATGTGATTAGGGCCCGACCGCTAGAGATTTTTGGTGGCTGACACCTTTGTTTTTTTTTTTGTTTTTTTTGTCACCCTTATTCTCTCTTCGATAAAACTTGTCTAGTTACTGTGGCAAATATGTTGAAAAGTAAATACAGGAGGACTTTTGGAAGTGGAAAATCACCCACTCAAACAGAAGCGAACAGAGCCAAGCTGAGACACTTGTGCAGTGGAAAAGTGGCATAAATTGCATCCTATAGTGGTATAGTATATTGGATTTATTGTTTTATTGTTGTTGTGTGCAGGACGCAGGGCACAATTTTCCTTGCAGCATTTTGGGTGTGCATAGGACTACATTAGGACAAAAAAAATGTATTTTATATTTGGATTAATTTGTGACTTTTTTTTTTTAATGAAATCGTGAAAAAAAACTGTACGCAGGACATTTGGTGGAATACGCTGGGGTCATCTTTGATCATGCATTTCTAGTTTTGTGTAGTTTAAGTTAAAAACACACACGCACGCACACACACACACACACACACACACGCTTTAATTTGACTCAACCAAGAAAGAGGAAACAACTTCCCAACACATTCCTGTTTCCCCTTTTGTGGAGAGAAAATTCCAGGCCCTGTGTGTGCATTCGGGGAAGTCAATTTCGATAAATATAGTATTTCCCTGTGGTTACAGAAATAAAGCACTTTTATATAATTTAGCAGTCCTTCCCAAGCTGGTCGACACTGTAACGCCCTAGTCTTTTCTCTCTTCCCTGCGAGAGTGTTCACTATAAAATTCCCACTTTTAAAGAAATGCACAAAATGTAGCAGCCTGTTCAGCCTACTTTTGCAGATGTGACACAGGTACAGGTTATAACGGCGTATTCACGATGCTGTGATTATATTTCTCTCTCTAGGTAGATATACACCTGTACATTATATATACCTGTACATACATACACTTATATATGTGTGTACACACACACGCACACACACACACACATTATGAATATACTGTGCTGTAATATACAAGCTCTGGACCATATGCTAATACTCACTACAATTGTGATGATTTAAATGTCTGTATGTGAATAAATCGTTTTTTTCTATAGAAATAAAATCCATTTGTTTCTCCTTTTTTCCACCTGAAATTGAGTTCTTTATTATCTTGAGGAAAAAAAGAGTTGATTGCCTCACCTGATCAGTCACAAGTGCTGCACCTCAAGTCAATGACGACTCTCTAGAGATAAGATAGGCATGCATTTTAATATTGTCTCACTCTGTTTTGGGTGAGTGGATGTAATCCATCACTCACATGGCGTTGATAAAGGAACATTTTGTCAATGTGCATGTGCATAGAATGCATGAAGTTTGTCTCAACCTGAAGCAAAGTAGCTCTAAATTGCACATTAATTTCCCTAACTCAGATTAATGTATGAATATACAGTAGTATTCTTAATTTTGAATGTGGTGGGGGAAAAAGTCAAGTACAAATTTGTAAAATTGGGTTAAATCAACTGCGCTCATTAAGTGCTCATTAAAAATTCCATCTTTACTCATAATTACAAAATACTATGAAAAATAAACCTCAAGTACTGCGTGATTGTTTCACTTGTGGTTGATGTTCCTAATGCTTTGCTGTAGTTACACAAGAGTAAAAATATGAAAATCACATTTCAGCACGACGTACAATATACTCACTTAATGAATTCATTGTTAAAAGCTCTGAAGCTAAGAAGAATTGTTGTTTTACAAAAAAAAGAGGTTAGAAATCTAACACTGAATCTCATGTATTTGATGTTGCCTGTGTCATATTTGTATATACATTTTACAATACTATAACCTTTATTGAGCAAAGGGACGCCTTACATTAGAAAAATGGGTTAAAGTTTTCAAATAGCAATAATCGCTCCACGGATCAACCAAATAAACTACGACGGCACAGCTCCATGAAAATGTGAGAGAAGGGCTAAATCCCACTAAAACTTCAATTCGTCACAAGAGCTTTGTCCCAAAAGCATTTTTGGCTTGTCAACATGCATTTCAACACATTCTTTGTGGCATTGGTGTTTTTTAAATGTCATTATTTTCTCCTCTTTTCTTAAAATATGTAGTTTGTAGATAGTGTTTCAATGTTTATTTTTGTATTTTCATTTTGAGGTATTTTATATTATTGGTTGCATTATTTTTAGTATTTTAGTATTTAATTATTTTACTAAACGTTAGTTTTTGACTTTGTTGTATTTTATTTTAATTCTTTCACCGCGACCCTTGTGAGGATAGGCGGATCATAAAATGGATGGGTGAATGGATATTTTTATTCTTTCATTTTACATTTAAAGCGTATTTTTGTTGTTCATTAATCTTCTTTTTCAGGATTTGAGCGATACGGCGTAGTTGACAATGTTGCCTCATGGTGGCAGCACCGACGTTCCGGCTTGCCCCCGCCCTTGAACAAGTAAGCGAGACGAAGAAGAAGAGGATCAAGCCCTCAACAAAATATGCGAAAGTTTCGTTGCTTAGCCACTACGGTCGTCGTCGTGCTGCTTACTGTCAATTGACACCCACGATGGGCTTCGTGCCGGACAGAGGTGGCTTCTATCTTCTCTTGCTGCTTCTGTTTCTTTCGGAGGTCCACTTTAGATGGGTAAGTCGCATTGTTTGGGTGTGCTTCTCGCCCTTAGAAAACATGACTCAGCTCCTAAAGCCGAAGCGTTCACGTGAACATTCACTCAAACCGGTCAGCGGCTTGGCGTGAATGACTGCTAGAGTTAGCTCATGCTAACTTGCTTTTCATTGACCGACGTCGTTTCTACCATTCCGATGTCGCCGTTGACTGAACGGGCTGCAATTAAAATAGACGTGCCTGCTCCTAATGTCTCCCAAAGGCTTCTAAGGCTTCTTTGATGTTGTAACAAGCCTCTCAAATGTATCTGGAATTTGAACTTGTCATTTATCCGGAGAAACTTTCAGTCAGCACTTACATGCATGTTTTCAAAGCAAACACTGACAGAACCGATTCGAATTTGTGCTACCATGACAATAAATAGTTGCAAGCCTCAATCACAGCACATCATAGCACGTCTCATACATCATCATTTCAGTGACCGACACCTTTGCCTGTGAGGGAGCACGATGTTCTACTAGGTCAGGGGTGCCCATTAGGTCGATCCTGATCTACCGGTAGATCTTGGACTCGTCCCAATTAGATCCGAAAGGTATAGAGGAGAAAAAAAAACATTTGTCTGTCTTTGTACATGTTAGCAATATATATTTTTTGTGTTAATGCACACTGCACCCTAATCATCCTATCAGTCTCATTTTCCCAAAGAAAGATTTTAAAAATAAAATAAAATGAAGCATATAACCTACGGTGGCGCGTGACTACGTCAGCAAAAGTTGTTAACGTTCAGCAGTCTGCAATTGCAGCTTGTGATCAGAGCTGTTGCGCTATATCCTTGATCGTCATTATTCTCATTCAGAGTTTGCTTCGTGTACTATTCACTGAGGGCACGGGCAAAGAATAGGAATCTAGAGGGCTAAGGGAAGCACTTCAAAACGGTACGTGTGAGCTACGACAGTCAACAGGCTGCAAAGGTGCATCGCTTGCTTCGGTGTTTGGCTTCTCATCGTGCCACGCGTGCCTGCGCACGTGTGTGTGTGTGTGTGTGTGTGTGTGTGTGGTGTGTGTGGGTGTGTGTGTGTGTGTGTGTGTGTGTGTGTGTGTGTGTGTGTGTGTGTGTGTGGTTGTGCGCGCGTGAGTGAGCATGCGCGGTAAGGGGCGATCCGGGGAGGTTGGTTGAACGAATAATTGATCTTTGGTCCAAAAAGTTTGGGCACCCCTGTACTAGGTTCTGGGGCTTGCTTCATCTTACACAGGGGACAAACCAATCCTGAAAAGTAGTAATACAATAAAATACTGAAAACTCTAGCTGCAGGCAGCTTTAAAGTCCGTAAGTGACAACAAAATATATTATTTTTTGTTTCTTTTAATCAGAAAGACCACTGTCACTAAAAAGACCGTGAATAAACTAACAGAAAAGTGTAGTCAATTTGTGAAGAATTAAGCAAGTTATGACATTTTAAAGACTTAAAATAGTTAGCAAAAATGAGCGCTCGTTTCCAACAATGGAATGGCTTGTCACTGAGTGTGCGAAGTGGTATGCAGCCAAGTTTGGACAAGTAAGCAAAGAGGAGCATTCGTTTTGAGTTAAGATAAGTAGAGTTAACGACTATGATTGCCATAAAATCCATCTCTGCAGGGCGAGTTTCACAGTGTTGTATAGTGTTCTTTCCAGAGCTCCAGTTTTGCCTCATCTGTCCAAAGGACATTCTGCGCGATGCTTTGTGTATCGTCAATATCTCGTCAATTTCCACCGATTTCAGTGACCTTAGTGGTATTCTTGTTGATGCACGGGAACCAACAATTTCGCCTGAGAACTAGTAAGCAGATCGTGCAAACAGGAAAAAGACCCAAACACAAAGCGAGCAAAATATGCTCCCATTCTGTACAGACCTGATCAGTTACAGAAATTGTTTTACTGACGCTATTCACGCTACACAGAACTCAAAATGATTTTGTTTCTGCATGTAATGAAAAAAATTTACTTAAAAAGAAAATGAATGTGGAGTGTGCAGTCGGCTGTCAACTTGAATTAAAAAAAACAACACAATTTCATCTAACAATGTAAAAGTATTGCAAAATAATAACTAACCTGAGTATTTGACCTGATTAATATGACATGTTGCAAGCTGTCTCTTTGAGGCTTTGGTCATATTGGTTTTTAATGTAGTTCGCGGGGACATTGTGATTGTTTAACTCTCAGCCTCGAGAGGGCTTATTGTTGCTATTGCAGATGCTTCGAAACAAATGTGATTCAATCAGGCTGGACAAATTTCATCACTCTCTGATTGACGTGCTTTGTTTTGACTCCTCTTTGCTGTCGTTTCTTCTGTCAACTGTTTGGCCATGCTCCAATATCACACTTTACCCTGGTTAATCAACAGTATGACTACAATCCTAAACAAGCCTATCATTTTCTGACACCAGCTGTTCTGTTATGGCCGTGACATTTCCACACCACCTTTGAACTCTGCAGAAAGACACAAGCAGGTCCCGTGGGTTTTTTTCTGATTTAAAAAACAAAAAAAACAAAAGAGGGGCAGGGGGAGCACTTTGTGGAGTAAGTGAATTTACTTCCTCCCAAGTCATTGCTTCCAACAGAGAGCATGTGAGCGGTGGGATGCTGAATAGGCAGGAAGAGTAAGAACGACAGCTGGTCAAAGAAGCACAAAGCTTGACTCTATCAAAAAAGGCTGCATTTACACTGCATATGCCCAATCCCCATTTCATGCTGACATCTTGTTTTTATTGACTGGCTGATACCATATACATTTTCGCGGGAATCTCCTGTTATTTGCTGAAATACTCACCTATTTCCTGTTTTTGTTCTTAGGCCAGAGGCAATGTCTCATAAGGAAAATATTACATTCCCATCTGGTGGGATCCTGGTGCCAAGGGCACATGTTGAACTCAAGGGAATGAGCTTCATTTAGGCTATGTTCACACTCTAGCTCAATTCCAAATTCTCCCCCCGCCCCATATGTGACATGTATCATTAAAAAAAAAAAAAAATCTGCAGTGTGAACATTTCAATTCTAAATTCTTTTTTTGTTCTTCAAATGCGACCTGGGCCTCTTTCATATGTCTTATCAAGTCGGATATGTATGTCCATGCGTCTGCAGTTTGAACGCTCCTCCTCACGCACCTGATCTATATGTCATCAGAAGCTCAATATACACTCTGCACGGACGCAAGAGTGTTTGGGAGAGAGACGACTGACAATAATCGTCCGTGCATGTGCATGAGTGGTGACTTTACATTTGACTTTCATTTAATCCCACTTGAAACACAAAGCATAAAATTGACACTTGTGGTGATGGTATAAATTCAGCCACGCAAATAGTTAATTTATTACTTGTGGCAATGATGTGACATCATCTTTAATGATCGTCTGCATGAAATGGAGCTTGACAAACAGAAAAAAAGTGTATTGCTGCCATCTTGTGGCATCCGTAGGCAATTAGAAACCTTTTTCTGTGTGTCGGCTATTCATACTTGATTCACTGTCCATCTCATTTTGCAGGGCTTTGTTTGTGTTCTTGAACGTGAAACAATCCGCAGGCACAGGCACTGGCCCTCAAATTGGCACAGGAGACCGACCCCCCCCCGCACACTGCAACGCCACCCAACAGCACTGAATTGTTGTGCAATGTGCAGGGTTATGCAAATAGTTTTCATAAGTGTGCATGGAAGAAAAAAAAACGTCCATCCATCAATCTGAACCGCTTACCCTGATGAGGGTTGCAGGCGTAGTATCCCGGCCGTATATGGGCAGTAGGCGTGGTACACTCTGAACTGGTTGCCAGCCATTCACAGGCCACACATAGACAATGAACCTACGGTGAATGTTTTTGGTATCTGGAAAGTGGAGTACCCTGACAAAAAATCCACACCGGCACGGGGGAGGACATGTAATATATGTAGTTATGTAACTAGATTGAATGGTGTATGTCTACATATAGCGCTTATCGGTGGGACCAGCCCACCGATAAGTGGAAATCAATGATGATGATTTTTATCCTCGTTTGATGTCAATCTGAAAGTATCAACCCCCTCCCCCCAAATGTTCATGCTGCAATGACTCGTACTCCACTTGAATCCTATTGTGTCACGTGTCCCATGCAGTTGTAAACCCAGCAGATGACACAGTGATGTCGATATTCCCTTTCACAACAAGTGTGTTGTTTTCTGTCGCTGCTTCGGACGACAGCTGTTGAGTCGGTGGCATTGCTATGACTCAACTCATGTCACGTCTTTAATTCAACATGTACGCATAATCCCTAAATACCAAAGCGGAAAAGGAAACGCGTTTGCAGAAGTGAAATAGTAGTATTTTCCGACAAGCGTCAAGGCACCAACAAAATCAGTTTAACTTCAAATCTGAAATGTCAAATCTTTGAAGTAGTGGTGGTAGTTGTCATGTCATCCCAAAACATGCCTTAAATATAATCGTACGAATGCTTTCGCACACTTGGATAGACCTCATTTCAGCAAGCATCAAATTTTTGACTGCCTAATTTCCAGATAAAGGGCATCACAAGAGAAAAATCTCCAGTAAAGACTCCGGCAGCATCTAAGTTGACGTTGTGCTGTGTTTGTTTTGCAGGCGGCAGCACAACACTGCGTGTGGTATGGCGAGTGTGCTGAGTCCGACAAGGTCCCCGGAAAGAAATATAATTGTAACTACACAGGAACCCCGAAACCTCTGGACCCCGAGGGCTACGACCTCCTCTTGGTATGTGTCAAGACTGTACGAGAGCACAAAATCAATCCCTCAAAATGTATTTCATCATATTATTGTTTGAAGCATTTTTTTTCATTTCATGTCTTATATTAATAACCTTAACTTAAAATCTTTTTTTTTTTAAATTTTATTTTATTTTTATTTATTATTGACTCTTGTATATATGTATGTACGATACAGGAGCTTTGTCCTGGTTATGACTATGGCAA